AGAATAATGTGATGGAAGTTAAAAAATCAATCGAATTTGCGCACGCAGAAATCATTGATTTGAAAGACGAAACTCATAAAAATAAGAAACGGCTGAATGAAGCCCAAGCGAGAATAGACAATCTCGAGGAGACGAACCGGAAACTTCGAGACAGTGTAATTGATCTCAAAGCCAGATCTATGCGGGATAACTTATTATTCTTTAATATACCAGAGGAAGAAAATGAGGACACTACACAAATGATACACAAATTATTGGAAGAAAAATTAGAAATTCAAGACGCGACTCATAGCATCAAGATCGATCGATCGCATAGACTTGGCAAGCAACACCACAACCAACGCGGTAAGCCGAGACCTATTGTCGCGATTTTTTTCAAGACCGTGAAATGATAAGGAAAAACGCGAAGAAATTGAGAGGAACCAAAATTGGGATCTCTGAACAATTTCCCGAAGAGATTGAAGAAACCAGAAGAAAGTTGTATTCAGAAATGAGGAAAGCAAAATTAGCTAAGAAGAGAGCGCGCCTGGTGCGCGACAGGCTGTTTATCGATGGTGTTGAATTCAAGCAAAATTAGTTTATCGTTGAACATTTAAGGTTGTATCGTAACTTTTTATTACCTTAAACTTACAATATGTCTAACACACCAAATATCTGTTCTAACTATCCTAAATTAGTTACATCTCACAAAATTGAATCAAGCCTTAAGTGTGAAACATGTAAAAGCTGGTTTCATGTTTGTGATAATTCGCGTCCTACGCGACAAGAAACGGAAATCAAAATCTGCAAAAAATGCGTTAATACCTTATTACCTTTTAGTTCTATTGATGTTCCTGAATTTAACTTTATTTTTGGAAACTACAATCGAACACCAAATGACAATGATATTGAAAGACTTTCAGAACTCAAATTTAATCCATTTGACGGAAATATAAGCACCAACTCTGATGCAAACAATACGAATATGACATCATTGAATTTAGATAACATAAATTGCGACTACCTTTTTCCAAATGACGTAACCACAAACATCGCAAATAACAAATTCTCTATTCTGCATTTAAATATAAGAAGTATATCTAACAAATTCGACTCTTTCAAGCATTTATTAAACACTCTAAAACAATCTTTCTCTGTAATTGGGCTATCTGAAACATGGCTAAATGATCAAAACTGTGAAAACTTCATGTTAGATGGTTATACTTTCGTTAGTAAAAACAGAAATCACAAGAACGGTGGAGGAGTAGGAATGTACGTTTCCGATAAACTTAATTTTAAAATGCGACCTGATTTAAGTGTAAGTGAAACAGGTATAATCGAGTCTGTGTAAGTGAAACAGGTATAATCATAGGAACTATTTATAGACCTCCAAATGGAAACTTTGAAATTTTTGAAACCAAACTTAATGATGTTTTATATTCGATCAACAAAACTAGTAAACATGCTTATCTTATGGGTGATTTCAATATAGATCTTTTAAAATCTGATCAAAGTGACTACTCAAACAGATTTAGTGAACAACTTTTCATTTCAACGTTTTTCCCTCTTATTGCAAAACCAACGAGAATTACACCACACACTGCAACTTTAATAGATAACATCTTTACCAATGACTATGAACAAATTGAAACCAGCAAAAATGGAATAATTTTCACAGATATTTCTGATCATTTTCCTATTTTTTCATTTTGCAAATACAAGTATCCATCATCAATTGCAATTTGACAACAATTATCATAGGAAAATAGATATAAAAAATCTTTCATCATTTTCAAACGCTATTCAAAATATGACTTGGGACGAAATTTTTCAAAGCAATGATGCTACTGAATCTTATAAAACTTTTAAAAAAAAATAAAAACTGCATTCAACAAAAACTTTCCACTACAAAAGAAAAAGAAAAAAAAATTGATTACTTTAAAAGTCCTTGGATGACTCACGGTATTTCAAAGTCCGTAACTGAAAAAAATAAACTTTATAGAAAATATTTGAAAACACCTAATCGGAAAAATGAAGAAACATACAAAAAGTATAAGAACAAACTAAATCACCTAGTCAAAATTGCCAAAAAAAATTATTATGAAAAACAATTTGTAAATTATAAAAACAATAGTAGAATGACATGGAAAACGATTAACGAAATTTTAAATAGAAGGAATGAAAAATCCACACTACCGGATAAATTCATAGAAAAAGTTTCCAACAAAGCCTTGTCGGACCTGAGTTTGCTAGACAAATTCGCATTGAAAATAATGAACAATCATTTGACAGGTATCTTTCCTGAAGTTATGTGAAAAGTATGTTTGTTGAGCCGGTTACTGAGATTGAAGTAAAAATTGAAATAGACAAATTAAATCGAAATAAAAGTGCTGGTTATGATGAGCTAAGTGCCAAAGTAATAAAGTTCATTGGAAATGAAATCTGTAGACCATTAGCTCATATATTCAATTTGACATTTACCACTGGAATTATTCCAGACTCTTTAAAAATAGCATTAGTAACTCCTGTATACAAGGCAAATGAAGACTTTAGATTTCAAAACTACAGACCTATTTCGGTACTATCATGTTTTTCAAAATTATTGGAAAAAGTAATGTATCAAAGATTGATAAAATTTATTGACGCAAATGAAATCTTGTCGAAACACCAATACGGATTTAGGAAAAATAGATCAACAGAACATGCAATTATTGAAATTACTGACAAAATTTCCAAAGCAATAGATGAAGGCAAATACACAATTGGAATTTTCCTTTATCTCTCAAAAGCATTTGACACAGTCAACCATGAAATTCTTATAAAGAAGTTAGAACATTATGGTATAAGAGGATTATGCATTGAATGGTTTAAAAGTTATTTGAAAGAAAGAAAACAAATAGTAAAATATAAAGAATACAATTCATCAGAAATGACTATTACTACTGGTGTTTCTCAAGGATCAATACTTGGACCTTTGCTCTTTTTGTTATATATCAATGATATTGAAAATTGTAGTAATATTATATCATTTGTCTTGTATGCAGATGACACAAATGCTTTTTATTCAAATTCTTGCTTAACCTCTTTAACGAATAAAATGCAAGAAGAAATGAATAAAATTATGAATTGGCTTAATGCTAATAAATTATCAATTAACGCTTCTAAAACGAAATTAATTCTTTTCAAATTAAAAAATAAAAAATTGGAATCTCATAATATTACAATAAAAATAAGAAATGAATTGATCCAAAAGGTCTCTTATACAAAATTTTTGGGTGTACTAATTGATGAAAATTTAACGTGGAAAAATCATATTGATTCTATATGTAAAACTATTGTCAAGTTTACTGGACTAATTTCAAAATTGCGACATTTTACGAACTTGAACACTATAAAGTTTACCTATTATGCTTTAATTTATCCATACCTTACATATGGTAATTTAGCTTGGGGTAATACATACCCTTCGAAAATTGAAAAGCTTTTCAGAATTCAAAAGAAGATTATTCGATTAATGAAATTTAAATCATACACAGAACATACAAAACCGCTATTTAATGATTTGAAAATATTAAATATTTTCAAAATTAACGATTACCTTACCAGCTTATTTATGTACCGTTGCAACTGTACTAATGATTTACCCGACATTTTTAATGGATACTTCATAAAAAATTCAAACATTCACGAACATTGCACGCGAAATTCAAAAAAATTGCATAAAGTTTATACAAGAACAAACTATAGAAAACAATCTGTTGTTAGTAAAGGTATTGACATTTGGAATAATTTAAGTACGGAGTTAAAAAATATTGGATCATATATGGTTTTCAAAAAAAAAAGTGAAAACATACTTTATATCACACCAATCAGCTAATTAATCATCCTATTTTAATGTATAAAGTTTAAAAAATCTGAAAAATCTTTTAAATAGACTAATTTTCCTTTAACACTCTCACAATTGTATATATTTTCGTTATTATATTATGTACTATTTTTATGACATCATGAAATTATACTATAGTAATAAAAGTTTTGTTATAACTAGGGGTCTTAAAATAAAAGCCCAAAAGGGTTTCTAAAAGATCTCTAGCCCTACGTATAGATTATAAAAATGTAAATAGTTAAATTTTATTGTACTTTGGAAAATTGGGCGAAATAAATAAATAAAAAATAAAAATAAATGTGTTGCCTGAACAGAATGACAATGGTTCTTCGTCCTTCGCATGCAAAACATACAAATTCACAACCCTTACACAATAGTTTTTTAGTCTGAATTAGGGACAATGCATATCACAAAAAGTCAAAAACAAATAAACAAAACAAACCGCTTCGCACCGTTCTAAGAAAGACCCTGGGTTGAAACAAAACTCACATGAGAGGTTATTTGGCCAACCGAGGCCGGTGTGAACGCCTGAGCTGGCGTCTTGTTTTCTGTAAATTGTTCTGTTTTTCTGTAGCGGTTACCAAATTATGAGCAAACATGGTGAAAAAATTTAGTTTTCATTTGTATAGCCCCAGCGAGTTAACGATCTACAGAGCGTCTTGTTATCTATTGTTTGAAACAAAAATGTAAACAAAACATGCGCATTAGCTGCAGAACGGACTTGACAGCCTCTTTAAACAAAAAAGTTTATTATCGTCCACTGGCACTGTATTACTTAACGGCGACCATTTAGGTGGGCTAGCGATCTAGGTAAGCGGTAAATACAA